TGTGAATTTGGGACACAGCTAATGCCATGGCAGACACCCACAATAAAATGCAATGCATGGTCCTGCAGCGCAAAATCCATCCATCCAACCATCGTCAACCGCTTATCCTGCGTACAGGGTCGCGGGTGCAGTGCAAATCAAAGTACAAAATTATGTTGAAGATGAAAGTTAACCTTTATAAGACAAAATAAAGGTTTATCATTGCTTAGAAACCCCTTTGCTGCCTGACTGCAAAAAATCTGACTCTGAAGATACCCATAATGGTCTCAAACAGCTTGGAGTCTTCTTTCTATATCTGGAAATTACCGCCAGCAACAAGAGAGATTGTAAAGCATTTTGTAGCAAATATGGTAACACAGCATGAAACGCTAGGAAAAAGGAATTACCCGTTTTCTATGATAAGTATGAGATGTCTGCCTGGATATCGTTGAAAAAATCTTGAATCCTCTAAGATTCTAAGTGGTTTAATATCATTTGGAGAATTGTTAACCTTAGATGTGAGGGACTATACGTGTATGTATCAAAACACTGGTGAACAAAACATTAAAGATCAAGCTTTGTTGTATAGACTCTGGACGTTTTTATGGAATTCTGTTCATAAGGTGTAGGATTCCTGTCTGGAAACTGACTCCAGAGCTGTTGCTCCAGAAAATCAGTTGGAGTAACATTTCGATGCACGAATATTACATTACACTTTCATCCCGCCTGCAAATCAGTCACACTGCTGTTACTGATACTGTACTATCAAAGCTTAACTTCACTTGTTACACCTCCTTTGCCATTCTGCGGCCATCTTCCTCTCTCTCTCAACTGTCCCCCCACCCTGATATTTATTTCTTCAGGGAAGGTTTGCTGGGTACTCATTCACTTGTCAGAATCTACCTGTTTGATGTCTTGTGAAAACACCAGTCTATTGGTATTGGCTGCCGAGCAGTTTCCCCAGAGAACACAGGGGTCAAACGTCCTACTCAAAGCCAAGTTGACGGAAAGCGGTTTGCTTTCTAGGTTTGCCAATGATCTTATTCTGGTCACAGCCAAGTTGCTGTACACTTCAGAACAGCACCACCCACCCATAAAAGATCCTGTCTCTTCTCATATGTAGTGGGATCATGGTGAGGTTAGAGATGCTGCTCTACAGATACATCACCCACACCCTGACATTTGCCGTATCTTTTATCTGACAGCCCTGTAATACTCCTGTTAGACTGACTTTTAGTCAGCACCCATACTTCCTCACATAAATCTGCTCTCATCAGTATTCATTTATTGATTTCATCCCTGTCTCATTTTCATCATCAGTTAAATCTTCCTCATACACACAGCCGCGAATATATGGCTTGTGGATACTGTGGGTTTATACATAGAAACAGAAACTGAATGTATAAAATATCAGCTGCAGCTGCTTGATATTGATTTGCAGCACTGTTATATAATCCATATCTCAGTTATTTCAAAGCCTAAGGATTACTTTCAAACTTATTAATAGTTTTTACCTGGATTGACCTCGTCAGAGATACGAGTCTGTTTCTTTCTCACAGTGAGGATATGTTTTATAGCACATAAGTAGAGGATTAGGGAACAATCAAACACAGAGGCTCCAATGTGTAAAACATTGCTTCATATTCTGACTTAATATCAGGGACATTCACCGTTATGGATACATTTGATGCAGTAGCAGTGTTTATTGAATGTATATGTGTATTGTTTAAGGTTTAATGTGTTAATGCATGTTTTAATAGGTAATCAGTCCACAGCAGAGGCTAAAAGTAATCTGTAGTTAATTCACTAAGAGTAAACATTTAAGGCAAAAAAATAAACAATGATGTTTTTTGGTTTAAAGGATGATAAAAGTAAAGGTGTAAATCAAAATGGGACAGTAACATGCTAGAAAAAACTAGAGCTGGAAGGTCAGAAAACACTTATGGGGTCAGTTAAATTACTCTAAGCCAGACCTATCTTACCTTTCCTTGTTACATCAACAAAGCCCCTTTAGAAATATTCTCAACACAATGGTCACAATAATTACACATGCATGAATCCAAGGCAATCCATGGAAATTGTGCTTTTTTATAGGGGTCGGCTAACCTTGTGTACACCATATCTCTTCTTCTCTAAGGATTTTGATCCCCTCCCATCTCCCCTTCCCCTCACTGAAATCAATAAAGGCAGGACATGAAGCAACGTCACAGTTATATTTAACAGCAAACATGCCTTTGAACTGGTTGCCCTATCCATTACGGAAAAGGGAGGGATTTATATGTATAATAAATAGGGAGGGAGATATGGAACCTGCACCCAGGGTCCGCTGTAGAAGGCGTTTTTGTTCTGCCCTGGAGGTTCTGGCTGTCTCACTATCTGTCTGGGCTCCAAATTCTCATGTGCCAGAGCATGATCAAACACATTCAAATGCTTGCATTTGCCTGGGCTTCTCCTGCATCTTATTAGTCGGTATTGCTCTTGGCGACCTTGAGAATTGCTTAAAATTCATAGGAACAGACCAGGATGTCAGAATGTGTTTTGGTTGTTTGCTCTCTACTGTAAAAAGCCGTTTTGCAAACAGTTTAAACCTTAAAGGTCACAGATGATGGATAATTATTACACGCTAATGGTTGTAGGTGTATGGCTACTGTTCCGGATAAAAGAGCGAGAGCATCAGATCAATGTGAAATAAGAGATTCTGGTGCAGAGATTTAACAGATGCCAGAGGACATGCGTTAAGTGAAGCACGTCAGTAGCAACTAAAAACACTAATCTCATTCATCTCGAGGTCATCCATGGAGGTTAACATGGACTCATTTTTTTTCCACTGACCTCACTGTGGGGAGAAACTGAGAAAAGCCATGCACCTACAGTCTTGTATGGTGGTTAAATAAACCTGAAGAGTAACATTAAACCGGTCATCCAGTGTCATAACTGTTTTGTAATAGGTTAAAGTGAAATGTGAGGTATTTTATTTGAGGCATAAATGTTTAGGAAAGAGAGAAAATGTACATTCAGTCATTGTGGAATCAGATCATATTTCTAGAGTAGCTATCTTTAATGATACCTTTAAAGACAAATAATCACATCTGGTCACTCAGATGGTGAAAAAAAAAAAAAAAAGATCATTAAAAATGATTTCCAGGTTTATTTTCTTGGTAACATTTGGCACTCATGTTCACATTTGAACTTATTTCAACTCAATTATGTTTATGCTCAGTTCAGTCACAGCAAGGGGGAGTTTAGGAACACTTTTGTTGGTGTATATTGGAAATATTTTGCAAGTTTCGAGTTATTTTGATTTATTGCATTGTAAATATTGAGGTGGTTAGCAAACTTGTTCTCTAGTGTCTATTTGTAGCTATTTTGGGGTGATGTGTTGTGTATCCTTAATGTGTTAAAAGGGTTTGGCCAGCCAGTATACATCTCCCTCCTGTGTGTCATTTAGGGAGGTCAACTTGCTTGATCAGTTGTTCAGTTTTGTTACAGTTCCGTTTGCTGTATTTTGTGTTGTGTTCTGTTTTGTTGAATATTACATTTTTCTTGCTTTATTTTGTATCTAAAATATGAGTCCTCATTTCTGCTTGGCCAGTCCACTTACTGGCTTTTCCAAGCTGTCCGCTGTTTATTGTTCTGGTCCAAGCTAACAGATCTCATCAACTTCGCGTCTATACGCAGCAGACAACTTCTTTCAGCAAAACATCTCTGATAAACTTATTGTGTGCTGCCTGCTTAGCACCAAACAGCCAGATATTTCCTTCAGGTGCAGACTAAGAATAGATCTAAGAAAATTGTGATTGTTGGGCTTTCATTGATCAGGTGACCAGGAAAAAAAACTCAAAATAAATGTTAATGTTTTTCCATGTCTATTGGATATATCCTTAAATAAGCAATGTTCTGCTAACCCGTTCGCCATATCAATCTGTAAATTAATATGTTAGCATTGTGTTATAGCTTGTTGTGCTGCCCTCAAGTGGCAGAAAAACTTATTGCAGGTTTAATTCCAACAACAGTAAAGATTTATCCCCCTAAACTTGAGATCTGTATGGATGATTTCTTTAATTCAGCCATTGAACTACAAGACTGTAGAATCATTCAGGAGGACATCATCCATCACAATTCATATTTCTGAAGAACACATTCCAACACAACCATATGCACAGATCTTTTATTATTACAAACATCAGAATATGCTTTGTGCACTAAAATGAAAACACTACTGAATGCATCTCATTAACACAATCCTTACATTTAAAATCAGAATTAAAATTATTATGGTAGATGTACAGCACTAGTCATTAAAGCTAGGGTATGCACTGTTGGAGAAACTAGCAGAGACAGCTAGATTTTGTAAGTATGCAACCAAAAAAAGCAGGCAGGCAGGCAAGTGCTTATTACAGTCCTGTGACAGATCTGGATTTGTTTTTCTTTCATTTTTGTGTCAGAGCATTTTATTTATTGATTGTAGTTTAAATGTTAAGAGAATTTCAACAAATATTAAAAAAACCCAGCTTTAATTTATCTATAAAAAAAAATTCTTGAAGTTAAATATTTTATAAATTTGGAGTGGGTGAGACTGTAGTGTTTCATATTTACATCATGTTGTGTGGTTAGACCACCAACCTGTGCCATAAGAAGATTTCTAAGGCTAAAGACAACATTAAAAATTAAATGCCCAAGCAGAACTGTGAATGTATGTACATAAAATACAGTTTTGATATTTGCCATAGACAATCAGTCAGAGTGGGGAAGTTTCATTACAATCATGACATGATTTTGCTGGTGAGGATAAGTGAAAGGCACACAAGACAGAGACTGGATGTTACACTGCTTTCCAGGATGAGAGAGGTAAACCATCCAATGACAAAAGATACACTTTAAAGATCTACTATTTACACAATAATTAACAACTAATTATGGAATGATTAAACCGGATTTTGACAACAGAGTTGGATTTGGATCAAAGCCCTCATTTCCGTATGAATATTACCATATTTACTCACAACTGGCCTGTGTGTGTGTATGTGTGTACACAATTGTATCATTTGTTCACAGATGTGAACAAATGATACAATTCCACACATTTCCATTTCAAAAACATCAAGTAATCCATCAGCAGTACTTCAGTCTTTCTTCAGTAACAAAGATTCCACACTGTGAGTCAAAAACAACTGAAACAACCTCAGTTTTTGTTTCAGTGACAAAGAAATATTACTGTGAATAATAAAGTGCTGCTAAAAAGATAACTTTCCTTAAACAACGCATTTAAAGAGAAGAGAAGTTCGACAAATGATACAGCAGTCGTAGACAGTGACTTGTACAGCTAGGCAAAGTGAGCCAGATGACACAGGGGGGGGTATCTCCACCAGCTACAGTATACAGTACAGTACACAACCAAAAGAGAGAGAGAGCCTAAAATACTGCAGAATTTAGTGCACAAGGCATAAAACAAGCCTTGCACCATGTGTCCGCCTCCTAGGACACATAATGAACATTATGGAGTGGAAGGAACACTGGGACACAGGTGAAAAGCACTTTCAGGATAATCAAAACCTTCCAAAAGGCAGACATTCATTTTGGTCCCCGTTCTTGCTTTATTTTTTTTTTAAGTTGCTTTGTAGCTGTCACAGAGGAACAGCATGCAGCATTTCAGTTCCTGTTTGTGTGATCGTCACAGCGCTCAAGCCAATTCACCAGACTGTGAAACTTCATGTGTAATCAAAAATACCTAAAGTGGAAATCATCCATTGACAGAAGCTTTCAGTCTGGATCAGGCCAATCTGACCTGAAACTGCTATAAAGTGATAAGGCTGGATGGCTGGAGGCAGAGGAGGCTTGATTTCTTTAGACAGGCACTTAAAACTCACAAATGTTCTGAGACAGATTTTTGGTTTTGGGGCTGTTGATTTTGAGTGCGTACTTATCTCATGTCATGGAAAATGGATGGATGATTTATTTATTCACTTCACTGCCAAGTTAAGTACTCTGGTTTCTGTGCTGGTACTGTTCCATGTGCACAGTCAATGTCAATTTAATCAAATGTAATGGTAAGAAGGAATGATATAAAAATACATAAACGGTGAATTAATCTGTTTTGTCTTCATGACCATCAATCTCTAAAACATGACATTTTCAGTAAGAAAAGTTTTTGTCCTACAATAAAAAGAGTAAAATATTGTCTGGCAGTAGTAAATAAGTAACAACAATATCGTCTAATATATTTCATTAAAAAGTAAAAATAACTTATTTATTGTCAGTAGAGAGTTGGGACCCTTTTTTAAAAGGACATTGCACCATCTGGTGGGGAGAGATAAAGTCGAGCTGCACAGCATCTACAGTGCTAGAGTCTACAGTGATACAGCTTTACAGTATGATTGATAAAAACATATTTTGCACATTGAACTGATCTCTACAGCTACAGCGTTCTTTAACCGAATAACTAACTGACTATATTGTAACAGGCTATAGAGAACAGAGCATAAGCACATAGTATAACATACTGAGAGGAAAAAAGTTTAAAAAACTTGGTTGATTGAAGCAGGCACTCCTTTTCCTTCTTTAAAATATCTTTAAAATATTAAAAACCTTCCCCATCTACCCTCAACTCCTCTCTGCACATCTGCCAGGCGACATAGTGCCCATCAAGTTTTTGTTGCCACATTTGACCTGAGAGGGGCAGCGGAAGACATCATGCTGGAGAATCACAAGGAGTTGCTCTGTGTCTGGTAATGGCACCCGAAATGCGGTGACAGTATGAAAATTATTCTACCGATGGATCGGTCTACTTTAGTTAGTAGACCCTTCTCATTCCTTCTAGGTCTGAGAAAGAGTTTGTTGGAAGTTAAAAACATTCACTCAGAGCTGAGAATCAGCTCCCAGGCTGTTGAGCTCCTCCGGCGAATGCTTTTCAACAGGAGTCTGTCGGAAGCCAGCCGAGATCTCGTCAAACGTCCGGCCCTTGGTCTCCGGCACTTTGAAGTAGGTGAAGATGAAGAACAAGAGCAGCAGCACAGTGAAGATGACAAACACGTAGGGGCCACACAACTCCTGTGAAGAGAGATAAGAGAGAGACAAGTATTAAGAAGAGTCTTAACAAGGTTTACTGACCTGACAGTAAACAGATTAATTAAAATCGTAAAGATGGACAGCAAAACCAAACGTGATCTCATTTCAAGACTTCACAAAATGTACTGGTAGTTGTAGTAAGCAACTAAGCATCTGTCGCCATGGTCAACATTAGTGCATGATGAGTGAAAACAAGTTTGATAATTAGGGCAATTTAGACATGTTAAATCTGCCATAATTAATTGCCCTAATCTAATTATTTGGTCTACTCTAATTAATTGCCATAATCTAGGACGTTTGTAATACAAAATGTGAGATAGAATCAGCTTTGCGGGAGTAAAGATAACATTTTTTAATTTTTTATGAAAAATCAACAATTTCTTATAAATTTGACTACATCCTACCTATTAACTAGTTAAACCTCAACTTTGTCTTATTTTCCATATAATTGGTACCAAATTACATAGTTCTTTCCAGGACACTCCCTAAGCAACTATGGACCCACTACCTCACAAACACAAATACTATATCCAAATGTTTACTCCTGTCATTTTTTCCTACTCACCTCTACATACTGGAATCCCATTCCCACTATGAAGTTGGCAGTCCAGTTGGTGAAACCAGCTACAGCAATGGCTGAAGGCCTGGGTCCCTGCGAGAACAACTCTGCCACAATGAACCAGGGGATGGGACCCGGTCCCATCTCAAAGAATGCAACGAATGCAAAAATGGCCACAATGCTCAAATATGACATCCATTTGAGCTGGTCCTATAAGAACAGAGGGTAAGAAGAAGGTTAGTTGCTGGTGCTTTCTCAGTGGGAATCTTGACAACTGCCTACAGCAAGTAATTAATTTTAGCATAAATCACAACATATCGAGATTAAGATTTGAAGAGAAACCTACCAGCAGAGCCAAGGCAATAGTCATTAAGATGGCAGATCCGGCCATTCCCAGCAGCCCCAGCATGTGCAGAGACCTACGTCCTGCACGTTCTACGACAAACAGCTACACCAAAAAGTAAACAAGATTAGGAACAAGGTCAGTGCAGTACTACAAAGTAATAAACAATTTAAAACCTATACATCGTTTTTAAAAGCTTTGACTGCCACTTTCTACCTCAGATATGTCCACTAACAACAATAAAAGATCATTTCTGGGTGAAGATACCTCTACTACATGATGCTTTTTTATCTGTACTGTAATGGTGATTTTCCTTAAAAATGTAACAACGTTATACTGGACTCACCGACACCACAGTGAAAGCTGTGTTGACAACACCGGCTCCAATGGTGGCGTAGACGGGCTGCTCAACCCCGGCTTTCTCGAAGATACGAGTAGAGTAGTAAAATACCTAAACAGTACAACAATCAATCAAAAATTGGACATAAGAGAGTTAACTTTCATGATATCTTCTTATATTTCTGATGTGGCTCTATCTATAGCATGCAAATGTGTGCCAAGCATGTCAGGGAAAAGTGACTGTTTCTTTGTGTTTTCTTCAGAACATCAGTGACAGTCGCAGAAAGAACAATGGGATCATGTCTAGGCCTGGACACTTACAGCGTTGATGCCAGACAGCTGCTGGGAGAGCTGCAGGACCACAGCAACAATGAGGGGCTGGCGGTAGAGGGGCGAGCGTAACAGCTCCACAATGTTCACCTTCTTCTCCCTCATCATCTGCCGACTCTCTTCCTTCATTTCCTGCATGTCAGCGCTCACGTCTGTGGTGCCTCTGAGCTTCTTCAGCACTGAAATGTGCAGAGAAAAAAGTCATTGTTAACTCTGCAGCACTTTTTCTTTTCTGTCACTTTTTGTATCCTTCAGATTACGTCTTTGAACAATGAAAAAAGAGGCCCATTGGATCTGTGATGGGATAGAAATATCTAAAACTCACTCTCAATATTAGATTAAAAAATAATTAAAAAGCATGCAAGGACATATCAGTTGTAACAAAATACATCTACTTCAAGCTGTAAATGCTGTGACCTCTTGAGTGTCTGTGTGAACTCACCAGCCTTAGCCTTGTTCTCTTCGTTCTTATTGATGAGCAGGAAACGGGGGCTCTCGGGGCAGAGAGGCAGTAGGATGCACTGAACCACTGCAGGGACGAAGGTGAAGCCCAAGAGGAGAGGCCACAAGTTATCGTTGCCCATGATCTGCTCCATTCCAAACACCTGAAACAAGAAACAGACACACGTCACACATATGAACCACAAGTGCAGGTTCTAGCATGCATCTGAAAAAATGGCCTGGTAGGATGCACAACGTTGTATTGTTATCTCATAGGAAATTCACCACACTTCACTTCAAATGCTACATTATTAAAATTAAACTACTGGATCAATTACTGTGCACCAACCTGTGCAACGAGGATGCCGATGACAATGCCGAGCTGGTGGAGGGTGCCCAGGGCTCCTCTTAGGGATGTTGGGGAAACCTCACCCACATACATTGGCACAAAGCCTGTGGTGAGACCAGAGTAGAGGCCCACCACGAAACGCCCGATGATCAGCATTTCCCAGGAGCTCGCCATTTTTGAAAAGCCCATCAGAATGGCTGAGATGAAGGCCAGGATGTTGGCCAGGAGCATAGAGTTCCTCCTGTAGGCAACAGAGAACAAAAAATCAAGTAATTCTGTCCTCTAGACCAAAATACCAAATCAGTGAAAAATATATAACATTGTTATATATACATCCACAGTGTGTGTCTGAGTTTAAAAGCTGTTCTTTAAATTCTGAAGGTAGTGTGTAAATGCTAGAATAGGTTGTTAAATTGCTCTTTAAAAACATCATATAACTACTGCAGTTGTAAGTGTACTATCACATTGTACTGAAATGTTTCAGTCTACCTATCACGCTTTAATTTTGAACTTTTACTCCTTTAAATGGAGAAAAAGTGTCCAGCGCAGTCCATTTATTTTAGAAAAGCCCCAGGCTATTGTGCATATTTTAATGAAATGGGTTTATTTTATTTTTACCTTCCAAAGCGATTGACAAAGAGTCCGACAGAAAAGGAGCCAAAGATGCCACCAACAGAGAAGATAGAGACAGCAATGACCAGATGGCCGTGAGGGAGATCTTGGTGATGGGCTCATTGTAGCGCTCAACCCACGT